TGACTTATAAGTACATGATTACATATGATTGTGCTTCTTTGATATTTCAGACGAATCAATTCTTCATTCTGGTCCTGATTGGCTACTCATAATCATAGTGGTCGTTTGCTCTCTGGTTACGGTTGCGTTAATATTGGCTTTCATTCTCTGCTTAAGAAAATGGAAGCAGTCAATACGTGACATCGACAAGGGTAAGTGAAAAGATAAATATAGTACACGTTACAAGAGTTGAAGCCAAATAATAATTAGTTCCCATGTAAGCCTTAGACACAGGTGCTGTGGCCTTTCGCGAATTCGTTTGCATTGAGGGACCCAAAGCAATAGTATTATGATAGGGTTGGATACATGCTTCTCTTAGAAGCGCATGCTCAAGGGGTCAAAAAGCGGGACCATGGTTGTAAAAATTGCTATGTTAAGGAATATTTGATTTAGATCCAGCAACAGTCATCATTATAAGCTAATTCGCTTTTTTTATCAGTATCTAGGTGTAAATTTTAATCCTGTGGTTCATTTTAACACGATTGCTCGTTTATAAGGGGTAACTAATGGGAATGTAACACGTGTAAGTGAAAATAACCTATTTTCATGATGCCATAACTGTAATATTGTTTCTTTTGCTTCCAGGTACACAGTCTATAGCCAGTAACCCGTAAGTTCTGACAAGTTCTACTTTTTATAAGTATATGACGTTGTGTAATAGTAAAGAACTGACTTTTTTTAGAACAATTAATGGTTCTGACTAGGACAACAGCGAATCGAATCATGAATTGTTAACTCAACTTTCACCTACAAACCACCATTTTTCTGGCAGAAAAAAAAAAGCGCATTGCATAGCATTTCATTGTTTCCTGCCGGCGCAGTGCATTGTAGTTGACTAGGATTCTTCTTCCTTGTTTGATTAATCGATTACTTAGGCTTCAACCGCTGACTAGTTGACTAGTGCTAAATAGATAAAAAAATAGACCCTTTTTAAAAGTATTTGAATGCAACGATAACGTCATGGAAATACGAAAGAATAGCCACAGATTCCATCGAGAAAAAGTGTGATTTCTTTTGTATTTACATGTTAGTCTCACAGCCACGATACCTTTAAGAAACTCGGGTCCATTCAGGCTTTGGTTGATTTGATTGACGAATAGTTAGTTATGTTGGTTATTACCTTTTTATTGACTCATTATATAAAACACATGACTTTGTTAGAAGGCAAAATCAATGGGCCGAAGAGTGTCCGTATGGAGAACCAGTTGATGCAATACGAGAGAAAATCGTAATTCACACATCTGCAAGCAATGCTGATTATGCCACCGTGGAAGAGACTGGGTACGAACCGGTTATCACTTCTAAAACAGTACAACAACCAACACGTGACGAGACATCCAGTTCCAAGAAAGTGAAATCTAACGTGGAACCCGTGTATGCAAAAGTCAATWAAAACAAAAAGAAGGTTGGTTTGCATTAGTTTTCAAGAAAATAATAAAATTACAATGAATATGTCCGGATTACTTTAAATACACCACTTTCGAGTTCGTATATTATTATTCTTGTCATTGTTTCTTTACTACAGACTCATCATTTACTCATTTTTCCAGTGCTTTGAAAAGTCATTTGCAACATATTCATTGCATTAAAGTTTATCTTTGTTGGAGAGAATCCAGGAAAGAGGATTAAGGGCCGTTTATAGGGACACAAAGTCCAGCTATAATCAGTTATTGAATA